CGGGGGTGGGGGTAAAGATGCTTATTAACCACAGAAGTCAACGGAACACGTGCAACAGTTTTACGTATCGGCCATTAGGAAGGGCATCCGCCGTAAAAACTGCGGCAAACAAATCACGCGAGAAACTCGCCACGGCGACAGGGTGAAAGGTCACGACAACTCTAGTGAAAGTCCAAGTCAAGACGGTGCCTTTTTGCTGTTGGTTTGGACCAATAAATCTGCGCCAAAGAAAAAACGAGGGGTGTTCTGCTGGCGAAATAACCTTCTTGTGGAGACGGATAGTCGTGAAAATCTGCTCAGCAAGGAGAAGGTGCGAGCGCACGTCGCTGGTCTCATTTCAGGCCTTCAGTCGAGCTGCAGGCTGTCGTGTTGTCGTTCAGTCTTGTCAAGCGGTTCACCAGGTTATCACGCTTGACCGCCTTATCTCCAGCGCGCGCACCAGTTTAGCCACCGAGGGAGCAAATGGCCGTCCTTCTTATCAAGTGGTCGCAACAAGCGAGCGCCCTGATGCTTTGACCATGTAAGATTTCATACAAAACAGCAAGATATGAGGAAAAAAAAAATCTGTCCTGACTTACTGAAAATTTCAATGATAGCAAATGAGAAAAAAATCCTTCATTGTGCTCAAGTGATATGATGACTAATCATAAAGATTCAGAAATAATGGAGGGGGGGGAAAACATTTCCCACTCAATGTCAGGACATTCCAATCAAGTGTTTGTTGTGCTTGTTGTTATGTCGCAATCTCTTCATTGAAGCGCAACAAACTAACCCGGAAATTTGGCTTCGCTTCAGGTAGCTTTTTCTTTCCACCCCATTATGGGGGCTCCCCTCATTTCAGGGATAGCGACACAGCAAACACACGAGACCCCCCCTTGGGACCTTCTTGCCTCTTTTGTGTCCAGAAGAGATTCACTCAGCTGCGGAAGGTCAAATGCGTGACGGGGGCGGCGGCGGGGGTGGAGAGGTGTTCGGGGCCAAACATGCCAAGATAAGCTGCGTAAAGATTTAGAGCGGCCACTTTCCAGCGTCAGTATGTCTGCAAGTGGAAATCTTGACAGGTCGCCATCACAGTGCAAATGTCCCGCAAGCCAATACGGCGCAGGGGTCAGACTCGTTTGAAGTGCATTGCATTATTTATTTATTTTTATTTTTTTTTTGCTTGAAGCAAACAAACAAGTCTTGCGAAACAGTTGTCGGGTTTTTTTTTGGAAAAACGTTGCATTTTCACTCCGGTGCGTCGTCAGTCGCAGGAAGCGGCGCTGATTGAATACACATGCTGCGCTTTTTTTAACGGCGCCCACTCGGGTTGAGCAATGCCTTTTGGCTTCCACGCACGCATCACGCCTCGCTGCGTAAACGGGCCTGTTGCTGTTTGTACATACAGTATCGTAGTGAGTCATCCACCTCTTGGCACCATTTATGGACTTTGCTCTATCCCGAAGACCCGTCATCCTTATCCATCGCATTATTTCGTAGAATTGGTTTTACAAAAATAATGATTGTAATCATTAGATGTCACAAGGAAACAAACTGGATAAATCTATGGCTGAGTATCTCCCGTATGTACTCAATAGGCGTGACAGTGGATGCAGGACCTCCTTTGGTGGTTCCCCCCAGACCTGAGAACACGCCCCAGAAAACGGCATCGGCGGGACCCCCGGGTAAGATGACGCTGTCGTCAAAGCTTCCCAAAGGGACGCATGGTAGCTTTGCGCCTGTGCTCGGCTTCGCCGGCGCGCCGGGTGAGTTTACAACTCAAATGTCTTTGCGGGTTTGCAACGTGATGAAGCAGCATATGGCTGAGCATCTTGTTTCTCATCTTTCTCAGCTGCACCAGTAAAACTCACTGGGCCGCTACAATCCACTCTTCCTTCCATTGCTGGTAAGTCATGTCGTTTTTTTTTTCCTACGCTTTCATTAACCTGGTCTGGAATTAGCCGCATTTTCCTGTTTGTGAAGCGGACGCACGGCTCATCGGCCACAAGATCTCCTTCTCCGCTGGCCTCACTCTGCCGCCCGTTCATGGCGAGGCGGGCGTCATCCGATTCGACGCGGTGCTGGTCAACGATGGAGGCCACTATGACCCCAGGACAGGTGAGTACATAGAGTAGTATCACAAGTACAATAAATTTCCATAAATGTTTTGCAGAGGATAAAGAAAATGTGTATATGTTGTGATATTATATGTCGACACGTGTTGTTGAACCATTTGTGTTTCAATATCTGCCGCGTAAAGATTGGTCAAAGCGCGAGTATCAATGCTAATGTGAACAATCCAATGGCATTTTCCATTCGTGATAGCACTAAGCTAGCAGGCTGTTCTAATTTCATTAATTAGCTATCTCATGCTATGCTAGCTACGTTGCTTAAAAAGCTTACTGCAGTTGTGCTCTGCAAATCCAATAACAACAACCTCTGTGTTGCTAGGCATCTTCACGGCACCCGTGGACGGCCGCTACCTACTGAGCGCCGTGCTCGGTGCCCAGCCCGGCACCAAGATCGAGGTGGTCCTGTCGGTGGACCAGCGCGTCATCCACAGGTTGGACTCCACATCAGGGGCGGCCCCTAAGCCATGCCCTGGCCTCTGTGCCTCCGCCTCGCTCGCCCTGGTGGTGCCCATGAGGCGGGGCGAGCAGGCGACCCTCACGCTGATGGCGGGGAAGCTCGCCAACACTGCCACAGACTCCACCCACTTCCTGTCGTCCTTCAGCGGTGTACTGCTCTACACGTCTAGTCGGTAGCCATCGCCGATTCGCATGTCAGAGCTGGAGAATGCAAAAAGGTAAAAGATTGACATCGTATATTCTTTATGAAGGGGAACAAATTAAGTGACCCATGTCACTATTTGGCACCCTTCAAACATAGGGTCATTTTATCAGTGAGTGATACAGGCCACTTTTTGGCACCCTTGAAATAGTGGAAGTGTGTGAAAATACTCACCAAAATCATCAACCCTGATTGAAGGGTAGCAAAATGAGTGCTCCATACCACTTTTGGCACCATCCGGCCACCTTCCAACCTTAGGAGGGTGTACCAAAATAAGTGCTTCATACTATTTATCAACTTTGGAATCTGGGAAGGTGTCAAAATTAGTGATCAATGACAATTCCTTGTATTTCATTTTTATTGTTGTATTTTTTTAATTCGGCTTTTTGAAAATAAAAACTTCTGCCTAACGTTGACGGCTGCAATAATTGGTGTGATTTTATGGTATACATTCTGAAATGTGATTTTTTAAAATTTAATCAACCACTGTTTCATGCACATCCTGGAGTTCATTCTCAGTAGAAGCCAAATGAAACTTTCATTTAGTTTCTGCAGTGACAACAGCGCTCCCTAACGCTCACAGAAGGCATTACAAGAGACTTTCCCTCGGTTCAGACATGATCAGTTCATATTATGCTATATACACTCCGATTCATTCTTAATAAAGTTAACGACATTAAATTCTAAAAAGCAAAATAAATCACCAATATCATTTTTTTTTAATGAACATTTAAAAATATCCATGTGATTTCCTCACACAAAGAAAGACTGCCCCTTTCACAGAAAGAAGTGATCACATACAACGTGTACGTCTCCTTGTTAACTGTCAACCTGATCAATTCAGCAACCAAAATGAGTCATGCTAACAGGTGCTAATGCTAACAACGTGACTGACGCATCCGTCGTCAAAGCAGCTCCTCCAAGCAGGCGTGCGTGATGGGCTGCCTCCAGTATGAGAAAGCGCTGAATTCGGGGCAGCAGAAGGCGGCGGCGTCCTGGCGGCTGCGCAGTGGGAACACGTGCTCTACCAGCTCGCCTAGGCGCGTGTATCTGACCGCCAACAGAGGAGACAACTGTGCGTCATGTTAAAGTGACTTAAACTGGATTCAAAGAAAAAAAGTTTCATTCATTTGCCAAGTACAGTTCTGTTGTATTTCACTTGAAAGTACTTTTAGTGCTGTTTAGATCATTTTATTTGACCTTTATGTTTTCATTATATGCAACTATGCTTATGTATTTTAATGTTGGTCATCATGGTGGTAATTGGAGAGCTAGGGATTTTTTTTTTGATGTGAGAAGTTTGAGAAGCACTGTTTGAAACGTGCACTCACGAAGTTTTGTTGCCTTTGGCTTGCTCCAGGATCAGCTCCCCCTTGGGGTTCACCGTGAAGATGCGGCAAGCCGAAACGCCCACGTGCCGGTAGGCCAACGCGTCCTGGAAGACCGTAGCAAGTTGGAAGAACGCGGCGGGGATTTCACAAATTAAAAAAAAGCATCGCGGATACTCACACTCTCTCTGTTGCCAAACGCGGCATAAAACGGATGCACGCCGGCGGAAAAAAGCTTCCTGATGTCCGACAGGCATTCCACTTTGAACTTCTCGGGTTTCTTCTCGATCATCTCTCTAACAAATCCGGTAACTCATCAGGTCGGTACCCGACATCATCAAGTTGCAACAGATGCGATGCCTGACGGGAGATGTGCCGTCTGCGTACCTGTGAAAGGCGGAGAAGAGGCTGCTGGGCGCGAGCATGAGCGGCCCCCTGGGCAGCAGCGTGCCCCCGTCGTTGACTCTCTGCAGGTACCCCCGCGTCATGTCCGCCATGCCGATGGCTCGCGCCGAACAGTACAGGAACTTGTAACCGTTCCTGACACAAAACGAGACCGAGTAAGTGATCCCGGAGCACTTTTTGGGCACGGGGGAAAGGGGAGTGAACGTACTGGTGCACGGAGTGGTATAGCTTGGCGATTCCTTCGTGTGTCCAGTCTTTGCCGAGCTGAGGCAAGATATGACCGAACACGTCTGACCTGCCAAAAAAACAACACAATTATCAATAAAATCAATTGAAGGGGTACGAAGAAGAGGAGGACTGCGGTACTTGGTGATGGTGCCGTCGATGTCGGAGATGACCACCTGGTCGTTCCAGTCCCACAAGTAGATGGTACCCTGGCAGCGACACGTTCCCTGGTACTGAGTGGTGATGCTGAACGTCACGTCATTGGGACCTTCCTTCAGCTTCAGACCCTCCTGCGTGCACGCAGAGAAATTTAAAAGCTTTCCTTTTCAAAGCTTGACGCGATTGGGTCTTACGATCTGCTCCGACGAGAGCCGCAGGGACTTTTTGTAGGCGGGGCCGGAGGCTTCCGTCCGCGCGCGCTCGCTTGGCGCCCGGCCGCCGATCACGCCGATGAGCTCTTTGCTTTCGTCGTCACTTGACCATTCGGATGTTTTCTGTCTGAAGGGAGCGCCAAGCATCACTTGAAGGTTATTGTTCTGAATTGTTATCGAATGGGTGGCGATTTTGCAACCGTTGAGGACCACTCGAGGGGAGAACTTTTTGTTTCGGGTGACTCACTGTGCTTTAGGGCCCGTCTTGAGAGCCGAATTCTCATTGGTTGAACTCTCCTGTCGCTCCAGCTTGCTCTCTGTGGACGACTGAACGCAAAGCAGGTGTGCTCCACTCGTTTTATTTGCATGATTATATAATCGTCATATATTTGCAATGCAAAAACAAATTCTGAAGACGTGTGATGACCTGCTTGACGCTGCTCTTACGCCAGAACCACCATCGCCCGGACTTCTTGGGCATCCTGTCCTTCACCCAGGCTTCTTCTGTGGCCTGCACGTGTGGAAAATCATTCACGTTATGGACACTCCACGGTCAAAAATCGCTTCTGCAAAATGTCGTCAGGCATCAGCAAATCTTGTTGGACTTTGGCAAAGGTCATGACACTCGGTCAATCTCATGAGCACAACTCAAAATTGGCCGATCTCACACTGCTCTGGTGAATCTTGGGAGATTTGGTCAAACCTGAGGGACACGGAGCAAATTACCTTCGGGAGATTCTTCTGGAATGCCTGCATACTGAGGATGAGCGGCGCCGCCAGAGTCCAGTTGTAATATCTGTGTGAGAAGATACAAGGAAATTATTATTACAGAGAACGTGGACATCAAGGAGTTATCCGTTTCAAACAAGATGTCGTTTTACCTGTGTCCAATCCGAACCACCAAATTAGGATTATCGATCATTGCGGGGTTTTCCGCAAACTCATGATAGCTCACAATGCATTCCAGGAATTTCTCTGCATGAAATTAAAAAAATGAAAATGGTTGTATTCTGTTACCATCCCGCAGATGGCGCCAGTGCTGCCACTTACCACTGTTGATCTCCGAGTCATCGCCGCCGGCCCCGCCGCCGCCACAGAGCGACAGCGTGACATCGGGCAGGTCGGCGGCCGAGTCGGAAAGACACTCGGCCCCGCTGTCGCCGAGACTCCCGCCGCCGCTGCTACTGCCCACCGACTGCGGCGACTGCGAACCTGAGCGAGCCCCTCCCATCACGGTCGTCTCCGTCCAGGGCCTCGCAACCTGGCCTGACTCGCTGGGGACACAGGTGGACATTTTTTTTTCGAGTCGTTACTCTTTCCTCCTGAATGAGATGAAACATGTTAGCCTGTAAGAAGGTACCTTTACCTCTTGGGGAAATAGAGAGCGATGACATCGGGTTCAAGTGCATTCAGGTCATCCAGGTAGATGTCTTCTGGTCCCTGATGTTGACTCCTCTTTCTCACGCCTCGGTAAAGGGGAAGCGGCGGTGTTGTGAGAAAAGAATGACTTGGGACTTTTTTTTTTTTCGCTTCCTATTCTTATTCTCTTGTACGCCACATCCTTCCTGTGCTAGCTTTGTCTTTCTTATACCAATTTGTTATGAGAGATGTAAAGCAGAGGGGTGGGTGTGACAGTTGGGGAAAAAAAAAATCTTGTTCAACTTTGGCAAATGTCGTGAGACCTTACGAAGAATCTTGCGAGAATCTCGTGAAACGACAGATTCTGCGGATCTCATGAGATTTCTCGGAGAGATTGAGATTTTTTTTTTTTTTCTGGTCAAATTTTCTTGCGAAAAATTTCAGATTCATTTTACGAGCCTCTGGGAAATCTCACGAGAGTTCCACAAATCTACTGACATTCCGGCAAATCTGGTGAGATTTCCACAAATCTCACGAGTCTTCGGCGCATCTCACGAAACTCTGGCTAATTTTGTGCAACTGGAGCAAATCACGGGAAAGTTCATCTTAGCTCATGAGACTCTTTGGCTGCTCCTGAGAGACGACGGCCAATCTCATCATGCGAACCTTGTAAATCCTGTGAGATTTCGGCAACTCTTAGGAGACGTCCGCTTACCTTGTCTCTTCACAGCAATCTCTGCTAACTTGGTATCGGACTCTCTGGGCTTCGGTGGTGAAGATGTCCACCTGGTCGTGTGAGCACCTTTCCCACCGAGCTCTGTTGTTTTTGGGTCGGCGTTCTGAACTTGAGGTTTAACAATGCTGCAGAGAGGATCTTCGTCTGGCTCCTCCAGGCCGGAGATGACCCGGAAATGTGTACTTTCTGAGGGAGTGATGGTCAGCATCTTTGGTCTGGACCTCTCCCTTTTAGTCACCTGTTTGAAAAAAAAAAAATTCTGTGGGATTCTGACAAATCGAGAGATTGCTAGATTTTGGCAAATTTCAAAAGAATCCCCCTCTTCAGTAATCGGCATTGTTTGTGTTAGCAACAAACGTTTATTGGTCCCTACCCTGGTGGATTCCGGGAACTCGCCCCAGCTCCACTGCATGTGGGCGTCGGCCCGGAGCGCGCTCTCCGCCGTCTTCACCATGAGCTCTGAGTCGCTGTTAGGCGATGCCGGATCAGGCTCAGACATCATGCTACTGCAATGGCAGGAGAGCAAAGGGTGACCCAACCGGTTTCTCTTTGTGTCCGCCGTCTTGGAAAGAACTCTGGACTCACTCGATGGAGGGGGACCAGTCGCCATCGGAGAAAGGGTAGCTGTCCCACTCGAGGCTGGAGGCGGGGGAATATCGGAAGTGCTCCGCATTGTCCCTTGTGGATGCTCTGAAGACAAAATTTCGTAATCGTAATTGTTGTCATTAGGGTTGCTGGGCTGGAGATGCAACTCACTCGATGCGATGCGAGGATCTCTCCTCATCCGAGCTAAGCCCAGGCAGCTCTCGCTCGCCCACTACTGGTTGACTGTGCGCCTCCTTGCGGGACTCGACCTTGTGCTTCCGCCTCCGTTTTTTCTTCTTCTTCCCCGTCGCGTTGGGTCCCTCTTCAGAGCCATTGAGGGGACGACGTTTCCCACCTTCCGGTTCTTGGTTCTTGATAAGGGCATCATCCGTGGGGATGGGTGAGGTCGCCAGGTGGGCTGGGACCATCTCCTGCTAGCATGAAAGGAAATTGGTGATGTGTGTGGGGGGGGGTCTTAAATGTGTCACTTACATCGTATTGTTCTGTCTCCTGGACAAAAAAAGCCTCGCCATTGTCTCCAAGCTTCATGTGCAATTCGACCGCTTCTCCATTTATTTCTATGTCGATCTGCAGGATCATCAATAAAAATTTGTTGGACTCTCTGGAGAACCTCCTCGGGCTTCTGAGACTTTGGCAAGTTTTGTGAGATTCCAGGGAATCTTGTGAAACTTCTGAAAATTTTGGACTTTGGGCGTATCTCACCGGACTCTGACAAATCTCATCGGACTTCACCATCTCCCGGGCAACCTCATCAAAAAAGCTACTGCAGCAAATTTTGTGAGACTTTCCGAAAAATTTTATGAGAGACTGGCACTCACCACTTTCTCTCTGGAGCGCAGCACTCCCAATTTTCCAAAGCGTACGTGGAAGGGAGAACACTGGAAGGAACCGTCGGGCTGGCGCACCACCACCACATCGATGCAGCCCGACAGCGTGGCCTGATTGATGCCTTTGTATAGCTCCTTGACCGTCACCAGAACCTGGCCCGCCAGCTGGCCCATGTAGTTCATGCTGATGGCTGCCTGCCACATACGTGTCCGCACATACATACCAACACACGTCTGTCAGCTTTATGAACTCTACCATTGAGTTCCATTTGGACCAAACATGAGAACCGGATTTTTTGGGGTTTACTGTCGGTGCCCTCTGTCAGAGGTTTCAATAACCAACAACAAAAAACCTTGGACAACAACACAAACCTGACTGTGACACCCGGTGGGGCGAGCGAGACGCTAAGTAGTGTTAATCCTGTTTAGCAGATTATTTGGCAAATCTAGCTTTCCCTAGCCCACGTGCGGTCCATCCAAGCAGCAGCACACGTGGACCTCGGAGAGTATTTTCCCCAAATTAAAATGAAAAATGATGTATCATGCATCAGACTAAATACATACACACGCACACACACAGCACAGTACTAAACTCACACTAACTAAAAGGGAACATTATTATATACTGTATATAGACAGATAGATCTGGAAAGGCAAAATAATAAAGTGCCTGGTAAGTGTAAAATATGAGTACTGAGTGATCATTAAAAATATGTATTAATAACAGGTTAAATAACATTTAAATTTGTCACAATGTGAAAAAAACAAAAAACAAAAAAAACATCTACCTGGAGTGGTGAGGACTCAAACTATGAGGCGTTCAGGGGCACAATTTTTCTCTCGGGTTTGACATAACGTTGTTCCGTTTTTCTTTCTTTTTCATTTTGTTATATTTTTGGGCGACATACTGAAAAAATACGGTCGGATGTTCGTGCTGACATCAAGCCAACACGAATGTCGCCCAACAGAACGTTTGCACAGGTAGAAAATTGTCAAACTTGACTCTCAGGAGCCACACAAAGCTTCCAAAATTACGTCAGGCATTTCGAGTCGCGTTGATGACTCCGCGGACGGCAAACGAACATGTGCAATGTTTTTGTTTTTTGTTTTTTTAATGAGATATTCCATGTTCCCACCTGTGTCTGAGGACCACCTGCCGCCGCCTTCTCGTCCCCCTCGGGCTCTTTTCAAATTCTTCTCAATCCCCGACAGCGGCGAACTCAGCACGTGACACAAGGGTTGTGGTGACGTCACCTCAGACCTGCAAGCGATCTATTAAGTCTCGATAGACCTCTTGCAGGTTTTCGGGTCACGCTGTGGATTATGGGTAAGGGACTCACTTTAGCTAGCAACTTTCCCCTCAGAACTGTTGTGAAGCAGAGTAATTTTTTTTTTTTAATTTTTAAAATCTGTGTCGTTTCATACTCCTTTTCACACACCGCCCTCTGCTGGGACACGACATTTAATATTTTGTATTTTTTTACTGCCAGTTTCGATTAAAAGTAAGAACAACAAATATCTCCCCTGCACTTTAAGTTCCCATTTCCCATTTCTTGGTTGAATCGCTCTATCTATCTATCTAATTGAAGTTATATGATTGGAATTTTATTCAAAATGCCGCTTTGATGGAATACTCTTGACCAATGCACAGTATTTTCTATCCTTTTTGATTTATTGTGTCTGTTAGGGCACCAGTGTAATGCTTTTGTTTGACTTATGTTAAATTGCCTGTTCAAAGAAAGTAGTTATTGAAAAAGTAATTCAACCCTTAACACATTAAAGAAGATTTATTTTGCGATGTGAGGATTCGACACTTTAAATTGAATGTAATGCAAGGAGACATGTAATCAAATGCAACGACTGGATGTGTATGGAGCACCTGGAATTAATTATTTTTTTTATTTTATTAGAGTGGTGAGACATGGTGAACGCAAACAATCCATCCAAACCATATACGAAAGTGAAATTGTATATTTGATACATAATAGGAGATATCTTCAGATGAAGCACTTTATTTAGCGGTGCCTTGTGATATGAGTATAATTTGCACCGTGGCCACACTTCTTACTCAAAACACTTTTGTGCTATTTTGTCCTGAATTTCAGGCTAAATTTCTTTGTTCATCAACATCTCTTGAACAGTGACTTCTTCTTCTTCTTCTTCTTCTGGCTTCTTTGTCAAGTTGTCCATCTTCTCTGCTGCCGCTGCGGATTCTGTAAAAGGGAGGAAGACGTTTTGATGGAAAATGTCATATGGCTCCATGGTGACCTTCCTACCTTTCGTCATCCCCGTGATGGCCGTCTTCATCTTTTCCTCGAGAGTGTTGGCACCAAACACCACGTTACCCTCAGCGTCGGTCAAGTACGAGGTCACGCCCAGGTCGGGCGTTCCCTCAGTCACTTCCAGCTAAAGACAACATTACGTAGCACCAGTGGCCAAAACTCAGTCAATGGAAAGAAATCAGCGCCTGACACCAATTTTGCTCATCGACACCAACTAAAGTGGGCAGTCTCAAGTACCTTACAGGCGCTATCAAACGGAAAGTTGTCAATTGTGGTTTTTGTGTCCATGCTGGTGGTGGGTGCTGGTCTACAGTAAACGGGAGTGGGAGTGAAGGGCGTGGATGGTGAAAAGGTGGAGGCGAGTTCACGAAAAAGGGAGACAACACACACATGAGTTTGAAGAGGAAGTACATGCTTGTTTTTTTGTTTTTATTTTAGGTAGTGTTGTTGCGAAACACAACAGGCTGTGACAGGTGACGGGGAAGGTGACAACCGTCGCCGTGGTAACCTGTGATCTTCACATTGGTACAGGCACAGTGGATGTTGACGATCACATTTCAAGTCAAGCACAACACAACAATCTGGTGAACGTGTGATCAATCCATTTCTGTCTCAGCATCAATGTAACATTTTTGCTGCTGTTTTGTTTTGTTTTTTTCTCTACCCACATTCAGCAGGAGATTTAGTTGGTTCATTTTTTGCAGGGGGCCACGTCTTCGGGGATAAAGACACTTACGGTGAATTCAGCTCTCTCGGTGCCGTACTTGTTCTTGACCAGGATGCTGTACTTGCCCGTGTCAACCGTGCTGACCGCCGTGATGGTGAAGCTGGCGAACTTGCCCGACTCGAAGCGCAGGATGCAGTGCTCGTTCGAGGTCAGCTCCTTGTCGTTCTTCAGCCACGTCACCTGCGGCAGCGGCTCGCCCGAGATGTTGCAGGTAAGATTGAGTGCCTGCCACGGGGTTGAAGGGGAAGAGGAGCATGTTGGGGTGGGAGGTCGGGTCATTGGATTAGCACCATGTGAGGGATTGGTGATGCGCTTGAGGGTTTGCGGCACTCACCTTGCCCTCCTGGATGGTGACCACGTCCGGAAGGCCTCCTGCCACTCGGGCGCGATCTAAACAGCCACAAGGAAGTCAGTCAAACACGCAACACTATGCGATGAAACTTGATGGATGCATGAGAGAATGAATGGATCATGGATGGATGAGTGACAGTTGAATGATTCCGTGACAGGTTGATAAATGATGGGTGAATAAATAAATGGTGGATGAATGACCTTATAAATGATTGGCGAGTACAAATTTGGATGAACAAGTGGTGGATGAGGGATGGGTGAATGAATAAATGAAATACACTTACTTTTTTCTGCAATAGCATCCGCTCTGAAGAAAAAAAATGAAACAAGTCAATCAAATGTTTTCCTCCTCTTAAGCAGTGTCCAAGCGGGGGATCACAGCAATTATGACACTCTACTCACTTGAGTCTCTTGAATTCGGCCAAAGCGTCCTCATACGCTGCAAAAGAGGAAGCGGACACCGGTGAGAGGAGGAACAAGCCTAGTCAAAAAGCAGTCCAAAAAAATCAGGAAGTCAAAGCAACCTTGACCCGACAGCTCCACGGTTCTCCTCAGGCCGCCTTTGCCGTCGTTGATGTTGAACTCGATGGCGTACTTGCCCATGTCCTTCTCGGTGGGCTCGCTGATCTGAAGCCACAACTGGTCGCCCACCACGCCACTCTTCAGGCGCTCTGAGAAGGCGATGGGTGAGTCTCTGGTGGGGGGGGCCGATATCAAGGGTTTGAATCCAGATTTGTCATCGCGAGAGAGCGAAATATGACAAAGCGAGCCATCGTGCCACGCACGCTATTGTCGGCACACTTGGCTTTGAAGTGTTCTTGGGCCAACCCACTTGTAATGCCACGTGACCGGCAGCAGGTCATTGTAGTAGCTGACAAAAGTGTAGAGGCGTATGCCTTGATCCGTGCTGGTGATCTTCAGCGGCGTGGACGAGTTAGCTGCAAAAAGCCGAATCACAATTGGAGCGGTTCATTTGAGTCACTGTAAATGGCCCGGGGGGAGTTTTTCCATCTCACCGATGTAGTTGAAGACTTCGTTCATCAGGTCTTTGAAACCTGGGAGAAAAAAAAAGCTGAATGATGAGTATCCAAATTAGAGTACCAGTACTCGAAAAGAACAATATCATAATGGGACATGGAAAGTATTTCAGTTGTATAATGTAGTAGTATTAGCTTCTTCTGGGTTATTAGCTTCAGCAAGTTAACATTTTTTCTTTCTTCAATAAACTAATCGACTTACGAAGTTTAGCAGTTATAAACATATTGTATGTCTATTAGCTTACGGCTAACAAGTATTGACTTTTTGATAACAAAAAGGTAGCATGGAGTAACTTATTAGCGTCAGTCAGGTCATGTGTATTAGCTCATTGCTAACTTGAAACAATAATGTTGTGTAGTAGTTTATTAGTTAACCTGTTGCTTCAGCCATGTCACATCTATTAGCTTGTTAGCTAACGGCTAACTTTAACCATTGCGCGTGGTAATAACTTTGGGAAAAATTATTATTTTTTAGTTATTTATTTTATTTATTTTTTTAAATAACTATCTCTAATTGTTCTGATCTCCTGTTTCCATGCGAGCATTGAATTCCAGATTGATGATTGTGTAAGGAATGATACTAAATTGTTACAAAAAAAAAAAAAAAAAAAAAAGGACTTCCATACGTTGGTCGGTCAGGTTTAACTTGGACGTGTCTTTTCCTCGGTCATCCTTCAGGACTGTCTCATACACGCCGGCGTCCTTCTTGGAAATCTGTCAAGAAAATGCATTATGGGTATAACGCCGCAGAAAATCTGCAATATCATCAAAAAAAAACAAACCAAAGAAAAAAAACAATAGAAAACATTGCGATGAGCGTTGCGTGCAAAAAGTGAATTTTAATTGCAGTAAAAAAAAAAAAAAAAAGTCAAACAAGCAAGCAAACATGTTTCAACTGAAAAGAATGATGAACAAAAGCATAATTAGCAAGCAAGCGTGCAAAAAAAACAGCAAGTGACCCCAACTTTAAGCATTCTCCCGATATGGTCGTCTGCAGATTCGGCGGGTGGGTCGGGCTGCAGTGGGAAAATAATGTGACAGCAGCTTTAATGGCACGGGCATTATTGTGGCGTGCGATGGGGCGAGCGAGCATGAGGCATCAAAGGGGAAAGGAGAGAGACAGAGAACACAGATCATGGCGATGATATTGACATTCAAAAAAGGACTTGCGACATGAACACACTCAAATGATGACGTATTTTATGCATGAGCAATGGATGGCAATGATTCAGTTGATTAAATATTACATGAATAACTCATTCAAATTTTTGACACTGCATTTAAAAAAAAACAACTAAATAAATATTTTTGGGCATATATAAGTGGTTGAGTGACTAAACTATATAAAGTATTGCATCTACTACTTATAGGTGCTTTCGTCACGACTAAAAATAAATGTATGTGCTTTTTTATTACAGCAATTGTAATGCTGCCATTAGGCCGAAAGTTCCAAAGTCAAAATTTGGTAATTTTTTTTTTTCTTCTTTTTTAACAGATCCATACTCCTGATCAAAATGTGTGAGTGTGTGTGTGTGCGTATTATTGACCAGTCTTAAGTGTTGAGAATGGCTGCCTTTCTTTGACAATGCAAAGTTTATGGATGAACAAACGTGTCGTTTTTGTTGTCTCCTGCAAAGTGATGACTTTGGAGGGACAAGGATTCGGCCCGCTGCTAGCGATAAAACAGTTCGTGAACAAAACATCTCTCAACATATTCATGTTTGAGCCAGACGTCATTTCTAAATGGAATCAGGGAACGGTAACAATATTTATCCATTTTATATGAAGCCGATTTCATCGCCGTCTTACCTGAGCTATTTCCAGTTTGAGGACTCCCTCGGTGAAGCCCAGTTTTTCATCCGCCTTGATCTCCCGTCCGTCCTTGTACCACAGCGCCGACGTCTCTTTCTTGATGTTTCCCACCTTGAATGCAACACAACAGTGTCATCTAAAAATACACAGCTAATTATTCAAAGAAATCCAGCAAGATAGGGTATAAGTGTCACCTTGCACTTGAGTACCACACAGCATTCCGGAGTGACCTCGTAGCCCAAATACTCAATAAAGTGAGGACCTGGAATATATAAAATGGTGGAAATGAAAAAGCTGACAATTGAAACCAAAGATAGAATTTTATGTCGGCAAACCTTGCTTCCTGAACCATTCTTTCCTCTGGAACTCGGATTCCTTCTGCAGATCCTTGAACACTGAAAAAGCAAAAGCACAGGTTGCGTCGATCTGCACGCTTTTCTGCCCTCTAGTGGTTACAACGTAAAGTGGAAGGATCGCTTTCGATTTGATTTCATGCTTAGGGACACCCACCGTCTCCTATGAGTACCAGGCTGGACTGATTGGTGGCTTTTCCGTCCTTCATCTGGAAGGTGAAGGTGCCTTCATCCTCGGGCATCAGCGATTCCATGGTCATCTCAACCACGCCCGTGTTCTTGTCAATATTCATCTTGTATTTCTGACAAGAAAGGTGTTACAGAGGCGTTTAAAAGAGAGACGTTACGGAGGAGGAGGAGGATTTGCCTCCCGTCCAGCCCCCCGACCTCGCCCTGGGTCACAACGTTGTCGTTGAACACGTAGTCCACTTTGGCGTTGGGCGAAATCTGCTCGGCTTGCAGCCAGAAGCGAACTTTGCCCTTCTCCAGCATCTCCACAGCTAAACCCGACTTGAGGGGAATCGCTAATGAGGACCAAGGCGGGAAAGTGAGGGGGTGGGGGATAATTCACTTGAATGACTTCTACTCGAAAACTGCAGTGGGGCTACTCACTGGGGAACTTGTGATCACGGCTGATCTCCAGCAGCCTCTTCATCTCTGTCATACACAAAAGAAAAGTCATGTTACAGGAAGTCATGTTCTGAGAATTGTAAATTACAAGAAAAACGAGAATGAAATGTCGTGAGAGAAAGAGTGGACGATGAGAGAAAAACGTTTTGCTTTTTGTTTGTAGAACACCACCTTCCTACCTTCGGGTGAGATGGTGTAGCTGGATGAATCTCCATCTGTGTGGGTGACCAGACACGAATAAATACCCGTGTCTTCCTCTCCGGGTGAGTTGAAGGTGGCTTTGGACCTGAAAGAAGAAAAAAAAATCATAATCATCATCCGAGCAAGGGTCCATTCTTTGCTGAGTCCATGAGTGAAAGCCTGACTTGTTCCCTTTGGTCTCCACGGTCAAGCGTGAAGCCGACTCATCCACGTCCTCGTAATTCTTGGACCACACAAATTTGGAGTCGGGGGTCATGTTGGCGCATTCAAAGTTGAGAGAGATGACGCCGTCGTCGTCCACGTCCACCGAGATCTCCTTGGTGCCTGCGACGCCACGCCAGATGATGCTGAACGTCACACCACAACCAGTCGTCACGTCAGTTTCCTACCTGGCTTGGTCACGGCTTGGACCGGTTCGGAGATGTCGGAGCTCTTCCCCACGCCGGCCTGATTCTGAGCGCGAACGCGGAATACGTACGACTCCTGCTCCTTCAGATTCTTCACCTGCCGAACCAAGAAGCGCAATGTTTTTTTTATCTTTTTGTCTCCGGCAATGAGGAAGAGACGATTTGAAGTTTCGTGAAGCTTCATGGCTATCATCTCTCCAACACCTTGATAAAGGTGTTCCCCGTGGCCTTGGTGTTGACTCCTCTCCATGCTTCCTCCGGAGCTTCCGCCTCCTTCATGTCCACGTAGAAGCCGTTGACAGGATCGCGCCCCTGGTACACCGGAGCTTTCCACAGCAACACCATGGAGTCGCCTCGCACCTCTCGCAGCTCGAGATCGTGAGGAGGCCCTAGAGTCCAAAAAAGGTTAAAAAAAATGAAGAAAAATAAAATATCATTTTTGTTGGAATGTTACGTGAAAAATGTTAGCGCAATGAAGAATTACGATCACAACATTATGCTTTTTCTTGTGTGGACGCTCGTTTGTGCGTGGATCTTCGCACCTGGAACGGCAATGGTCCATTCCTCACACAGGAACGTGTCGCTGGGAAGCGACGGGATCCCGACACCAGCGATGTTGGCCGCCCGAACCTGGAATTGGTACTTCCTGTTCTCCTTCAGGTCAGTCACCTGCCCACACAAAAAGTCTCTTTTACCATCCGCAACGATTCACACTCACATTCTCGCCAATGGACAATTTAGAGTCTTCAATGAAAATCCACGCACCATGCGGAGGTGTCAGAAAATTCACCGAGTCGATTTTGGGACTCACCCTGTAGGCACGTTCGCTGATCGCTTTGATATTGGCCTCATGCCACTTTCCCTCCACGCCGTCCACGACCTCGCGGTAATCCACGAAATATCCGGTGATGTCGGCCCCGCCGATGAAGGCCGGCTGCTTCCACGCCAGCACCATGGAGTCGCGTACGCACTCCAGCACGCTGATGCCGTAAGGTGGTGCAGGCGATGCTGAGGTGAGACACACAAACTCAAGTCAGCCTAGCTAACAATCCTCCATTGTTTTTCTGTTTTTTTGTGATGCTAACGTTTTCTGTCCTTGTGTAAAGATAGAACCTTTTGAACAGCTTTAAAAAGAAAATCATCTTCATGCTGTGAGAGGCGAACCCGGACGAAGCTAAGGCAGCTCTAATGGAGTAAATCACTTCTTTCCTGTGTTTTTGCGAAGACAAATTGACTGCGCAGCTAATAGTAGCAGCTAATGATAAAAGTAATAGCCGCACAATAACTAGTAACAGTTTAAATAACTTCAGACAGAGTCAATCGAAACATTCCGCGCTGCTTTCGAATGCTTGGCTAAGCTAAGTGAGCTGTTATGTAAAATTCCAAACTTCCTCTTCTTTTGTTCAGACTAATAGTGGCTAATGGTAATTGCAAATTAGTAGTTTCGCGCCACATTTACTACTACACGTTTACATCGCAAAACATTTAGTTCTGCTATAATGTGCTAAACCAAGATAATCGCTACATTTGATACTACGCTCATTTCTGAGCAGGTTATGCCTAAAAGAGGTTGCAGTTGGTTACTGGCAGCGTGTGATAATCTGACATCCATGTGGTGGTGGTGGTGGTGGTGGGGAAGCGGGGGTGCCTAAAGATCTTAGGGGCAACATGACAATGTGCCACCTCGAGTGGAAAGCCAGCATGTCATCTAAGTGTGGCTGCTTGGGAGTTAGTCCTTCGGTTGTGGTTTCACCGTACTTACCTGTCTGGAGAATGCCACAGGAGTGCGCCACCTACTGGGCATTTGCAGTGTTGTGAAATAGAAGGAACTTTTCAGTATGCATACTTGAATTGGGGATTTATTTTCCTGCCGACTTTTTACTTGAAATCACTTTTGCATTGGTGAAATGTGATTCAGAGAAGTTTGAAGATTTTCCCCATCCATTGCTTTATTTAAGAGAGTTGTTTTTGTGGTAGCTTTGTTTTTGCGCTTCCCGTCCTTATCTCGTGCTCACCTTCAGCCCCTGCGTCTGGCCTCGCCGCCTCCCGGTTAGCAGAAGCATCTACTGACAAACCGCATGCCCGCTCGGCCCCAGGGGGCCCCTCGGCTGTCTTTTCAGCCGGCCCCTCGGCGCGAGGTGAGCCTAAGTGCGCTGCTACGTCAGTACGTGCTTCACACAGCGAGCCCGGCGGTGGCTCAGAGGGCACCCCGTTAACCTCACTCGGCCCCAGGCCGCCCCTCTCTGACCCTTGGGTTTTGTTGTCCAAGGGGCCGGAGTTAGCCGCCACCGCCGCTGCCCCGGACTCCCGCTCGGGGAGCTCGGGGTTTGCCTGAGCTTTGGTTTTTGTGTCAGCGGGGAGCTGGACAGTATCATGCGGGCCCGTCCAGTGTGGCCTGTGCGGGGTTAGTCGGCCTTGGTTACCCCCCGGCCCCGTCTCCGGCAACACACCATGAGGGATGCCGCCCCCTACAGGAGTTATCAGAGAGAATCAAGAAAGACTGTTTTTAAACACAAGCAAAAAAATATATATATATACAGTTGCAATTAAAAGCATGAAGAAGAAAAAAAAAACAATCACTAAACGATGTCTTCATCTGACTGGCAGGGACAATGAAGCCAAGACAAGTGACATCCATGTGAGGACATGATGAAAACATGCAGACAAATACACAACAGTAATCCCCCCACATTTCTGCGATTCACTATTGACAAATTCACCTAATCGGATATTTTTCTTTGGAACTGATCCTCGGCTAGTTGCTGAAAGAAAAAAAAATCACCTATTTGGCGTTTTTGGTGCACTTTATGAAATGCCCAAGGATGCCACATGGTGGAATCCAAATCCCGAGTCGTAGAAAAGGAGTACATTGGTCTCAAGGGAGTATGTTGACGTCAGCTAAGATTTGGTTGTCTGGAAGGAGCTAAATTTAATCTGGTTTTGTTAGCAGAAGAAGCTACAAAAGAGTCTTACAGTACATATTTTGTAAGTCAAATCATCTGTCAGCCAATTTTTTAAGATTAAGTTTGAAATGATACTAAACTGTTTTGACATCATAACTTGTGGTATATTTAGGTTCAACTAAAGCTAATTATATTTTTTTTTTTCGCTATTTGCGGCGGGGATTTACTGTGCTCAAATGCCGATGTATTTCCCATTGACACCGGTTTTCTTGTGTCCTTTCACTGAATTTGACCATTTCCCATGTTGCCACTCAGAAATACATTGGCATTATTGCAATAAATAGGCTTCACATATGGAAAAGGCACAAGCCAAGTTACAGTTAAAGGCTAAAAATGTTAGTTTTGAGGCAGAAGAGGCTTACAAGGGGTCTTGCAGGGCGCATACGACAGCATACTGAATACCAAAAGGACAACAAAAGTGCTCTAGGACGTGACATGAAAGAACTTGGTTTATCTTATTTAATTAAAGAATGTATTTAATTCCTATCGGCAATGAAACAATAGCATAAAATGCAGGAACTAATGAGTTTGCTTGAAAGTCTCTTTGTCTCTAGTTTTGGCAAACTGCCGCACCTCCCCTTGAAAGCCCCTCATCGGTATGATTGAGACTTTTGCAAGTCAATGAGCGAAACATTCCAACAAAGCGTGGTTAGTTGCCTGGTTTTTATGGGGGTCCGTGCGCTGGTACCTTGAACACTGGGGAGTGGTTTGCCGACACGTCGCGTGCCCAGAACGGAGGGAGGAAATGGGGAGTGGGGGGGGGGGGGGGGGGGGAGGAAAGGGAAGGATGTTTTGTGATTCATGGGCTGGTTTGTAACCACCGCTGAGTTGGATCACACTGACCCAAATTAGAGGAAGTCTACAAAGTCCTGACCCGCCTCAGGCTGTGCAGGGAGCTGGTGGTTGGTTTGGTTTGGTTTGGTTTGGTTGGGTGGATGTAGGTGGAGCGGAGCAGACAATAAACGGTGACATGGCGGCAGAGTGCAACCACGGTGGAGTGGAACAGTGTGGGAGTGCGAGATGGCTCAAGAGAACACTGGTGATCAGATGTCACATCTTGTACGTCACATAAGCTAGACCATAAACATCCATTCAGTTTCTTCAAAGACATCCGAGTGGTGGTTTTCCTCACCAATCGCAGCCTTCACCTCCACAGGCTCAGATTCCGGAGAGAACTGACTAAGTCCTGCGGCGTTCACAGCCCTCACCCTGAACACGTACTTCTCTCCCGTCGTCAGACCGTGGCAGATAAACCTAAAAATATGTAGTTAAAGTCATAGTAAGATCCAATCTAGGACACGTGGGTAAGCCTACAAATGATCAATATTCTTCCAAGAAGAACTAACAACCATCCGCAAAAGCAGTAGAGCAACGAATATGTCTCTGAGCTTGTTTTTAATACCTGTGTAAGTCACGCCCCCAAAATATTCATTCAACATGGACTATTAATGTCCTCGTTTCCCAGGAAGATAGTTTTGTCAAATGTGTGTGCGTCGCTCAAATAAAAGCACTTCCACTAGAAGTTAAGGTTTACCTGGTCACGTTGACGGGTTTGTTGTTGCATGGCTCCCAGGTGTTGCTGCCCACAATGCTCGCTTCGATGTAGTAACCCACCAACTCCTTGGCATCATGGGATGCTTCCCAGGATACCACCACGGATGTGTCCGTGTTCCTTGTGGGTACAACTTTGCTCGGAGCAGACGGAGTGTCTGCAGATTCCGACATTTTCCCGTGTCACAGCCAAGAATGGCGATCGAAGGTTTTGTGTGTGTGACCTGGGCATTTTCTGACCGAGCTTGTCGCCAACCGTGGTGGCCTCAGTTGGGTCAGACGGCTCGCCGACGCCGGCGGCGTTGCAGCAGCGGACACGGAAGCAGTAGGACTTGCCCTCGGCCAGGTCAAACAGCGCGAAGCGAGGCGACCTAACCGGGATTTCGGTGTTCACCCTCTGCCAGCTGTCTGTGCCCGAGACACACTGAGGGGACGGGGAAGGAGTCAATGACAACATCGTCTTTGGGGTTGGTACCTTCGAGGGTCACTTGTGTCGAACAGGAGAGGTTGGGGACTTGAATCGCTTGAATTGACCCAAAGCAGAATCGCTAAATCACAAATTTAAGGACTTGGGACTTGCTTAGTTAAACCTAATTAAAAAAAAGTCTCTGACTTGAACTACATGACTTGACAAGACTTAACTAATGACATTTCAAAATCTGCATTTTCAAAAGAAATCTGCTTTGTTGTAGAACAAACACGGCAAAGTAACATGCAAGGTTTGCAACTCAAAGAGACCCAACAACACAAAGCTGACCATACTCACTGGATCATAAGCGCGTCACTTTTTCGATTACCTTCTCTACATAGTACATGACACCTTCCAGGCCTTTCTCGCCAGGTGGCTTCCAGCTGAGTACTAAGTAGTTCTTGGTTGCTTCTGTCACTTGCAGTTCTCGAGGTCTGCCAGGAACAATACCCTCTGTCAAAACATGTGAGTCATAAGGAATCAATCAACATTGTCACCTGAATAAGAAAAATCCCTTTTTGGCTGATCTTACAAACCTGCCGGTTCCTCCTCTGTGACAATGATCTGGCCGGTCCAAGGAGCCGAGGTACCTGACGACAAGATCGTGAGGATTCTGTCGAGTCATTGCCGTTTCAAAGAATCCCCGAAGCGTGATACCTCTCATGCGGGCGCGATCAGCCGGGTCCATGGCGGCCACGGGTTCAGACACCCGCGACGGACGGCTGATGCCGCTCTTGTTGACGGCACGCACACGGAAGATATAGGAGCGGCCTTCAACCAATCCGGTGACTGGGAATCGGGCAAACTTGATGGGAGTGTCATTGCACTGGATCCAGTGTGTTGTCCCGACCTCACACCTGTACAAATTGCAAGGTAGAGATCAGGACTGATGTTAGCATCAGATTTGTTCTCTTAAGTAGTGATCACGGTGGGAATCAGAGTTAAAATGAGGCTCGGTGGCAGAATTAAGGCTCGGATCAGAGGTCGGGTTAGGATCTGTATTTTATTGTGATCTAACCTGTCCACAAAATAACCCAGGATGGAGTTGCCGCCGTCGACGGCCGGCTGCTTCCAGGAGACGATGATGTAGTCCTTGTTGGCATCCAGGCAGCACACATCCAGCGGAGCCCCCGGAGCCCCTTCCACTTCGGCGTCAGCATCTTGGACAGAGCGGAAAGATCAGTTACCTGGCTCGTAGCTTTGGAACCATCGACCAATTACATCGGTTTCAAAGACTAAAATAGAGGAATGAAGAATAAAATACTAGGCAGTCCTTTTTTTCCCTTCGAGCCTGACACTCAAATTATTGTATTATCTGATCGGACCGTTCCATATCTGAGGCCACTTAGAATAGCGCGACCGAAGAAGACGGTGACAGTGGCTGATGAGTGTTCTGGTGTTCCCACCAGGCGCCACCTGGGACAGATTGGAAATGTCAGATGGTTTCCAAGGGGCGGCCCGCCATGATAAGCTTCCGCAGCCTCTTTTTCCATGGTGCGGCGTCTCGACTGAAGAGATTTAAAAGCAACAGCTCATACAGAAAGACTTTGATTGTTGAACATGCCGCAGGTCATGTTGTGACTTGGATTCCGTGGGACAGAGTCGGCAAAGCTGCTTTTGATAAAGTTTGCTGAATATAGTTGCCTGCATTAAGACATTCTAGATTGTCAAAGATGACGTATGTAAAAATCCCTCTGCGTGCACCTCACGGACAAAACACAATTGTTCCTCTTCATAACCCAATAATGGTAATGTTTCAAATTTGAGCTCACCTCTCACAAAAACGTAAGCCGAGTAGGTTTTGTATCCGGACTTGGTGGTGACGCGCAGAGTGTAGAGTCCTTCGTCCTCTTTGTTCAGGTGCGTGAGGGTCAACGTGGCTCTGTCGCCGCTCCAGTGCATGTGATTCCACTTGGATGGTGACAGGAGAACCCCTGTATTGATGAGACATTGACGAAAGTCAATGCAAGTCCCTAAAAAGAGTCGGGTTGAAATGTACTTACCGTCTCTGTACCACTGCACCTCGGGCTGGTAGCGATGCAAGGCTGGGTAGATGATGACCGTGCACCCCAAGCTCAGGGTTTCGCCCTCCCTGCCGAAGGACACCCCGAAGTTGTCGACGATGTGGGTCTGGAAGGTGATGCCGTACTCGGACACGGGACCATCTAAAGGGAAACCAGTCAAAAGTGACGTTTCTAAAAGCTACTTGGTGATTAGACTCGGTGCGGTCATGCGCAAAACTAGTGAGGCAACACAAACCAAGGATGATGACTGGCGATAAATCTCCACATCAAAACCACGAATGGCGTTGGTTAATCTTAATCCGAAAACCAGATGAAGAATAGACGCTGCTTGTGTCTAGTAAATCGAATGGAACTACTGATGGGTTAAAATAATCGCGTTGGTGACCATGCACACGTAAAGGGTGGCTACATGATGTTAGCCACACCAGAACCATGTTGACCCAGTTACCTTTTACACCAGACCCTGCAGCAGCAGCAGCAGCAAGGAAACAATGAAATCAAGTAAATAACGAAAAAATACACTGCATTGTCATTTTATTTATACATTTTCATGACTAAAGGTTGGATTTTTTGCAGGTAATAGAGCACTAGAAGCTATTCCCATCTTCCCTCTCTCAGTGACAATTGGCTCTTTCTTCCACTTCTATGAAATACAGTCGCGCAAATCAAATCAAACAGCCACATATTGAGTTCATACGTACGTCTCGGAGCCGGCAGAAACGTGTCCACTTCCCCTTTGAACCCTGAGTGATGACAGCGGTTACTATGTTTATGTTGCATTTGGAACACAATACTGTGCTTTGCCATATGTCGAGGGCCGCATGCCATACAAAAAGGCCCCTAATCACAATGGCATCCCAACACTGTGATGTTGAATTATGTTTTTTTAGGGCTTGGCCGTGACTTACTTTTTACGACAATCGAGGCGAAGGCGGACACCTCCCCCTTGACGTTCATGGCCGAGACGCGATACTGGGCCGTGTCCTCGAAATCGCAGCTGGAAAGAAGAGAACGTCAGGTGCCCGGCGCTGGTAATGCACATATTCTGTCGTACCCTGAACTCCCCCCGCCCCCCACCCACCGCCGCCATGTCAATAATACCAACGATGTGAATACTGCTGCTATAAATAAACACAGGTGGTGATTTCATACACACCAGATGCTGACCACGACAGCACCGGCCACTTCATTGGGCTACAAGTGTGTGTTGTTATCACGAAGCGACTCCTGTGTAGTGTAACTGAGTTCCAAGCGGCAATTAAAAAAAAAAAATTGATTGCGAGGCAGGTTCGGGTACCTGGAACCAATTGTGTGTTTGTAACGGGGAGGCGGCTTCTGTTTATTATCACTCTGTTGCAAGCAATTGAATGTTTGTGATGAGATGCAGCTCAATGTTCAAATTTGGAGCTACTCACGACACATTAATTCAAAAGAAGCGTTTCAAGCGGCTCGAAGTAAATTGTATGCTTGTGAAGAAGGCTACATTTGGGGCCAGTCGGCACCTACCTGTTGATCTCCAGTGAGTGCACGCTGTATTTGCTCTCGATTTTGTACTTGCTAGCTTTAGCGAGAGGGTCGATGGCCACGTTATTTTTGTACCTTGCAGGAGGTAGAGGAAAGAACTTAGAAATTTCAGAGGGTTCAAATGAGTGCCGATGAAAGTCAGCGGGATGTTGAGTGTCTCTTACCAGACGACTCGGGGGTCGGGCCAGCCGCTGACGGTACAGTGCAGCCTCACGCACTGCTTCTCCCACACGGTGTGTGAGCGAGGCTTGATGATGAATTCCGGGACGTGCAACAGGCTGTCTTCGTTCATGCGCTTGAAGTGTTCATCGTGCTCGTAGAGCTACAAAAAAATAAAAGAACGTGCCATTGAATCCCACCAAAAAGAATGAGCTGTCATGACGTGACGCGTCTTATCAGCCTTTACTCGACTTCATGACCTGTTATTGGCGCGATGTTAGAATCAAAGTACTCCGTCGATGTTGCACTTTCCAAAAAAGAAGAGATTTCCATATAATTTTGGGGGGTGTAAACATTTGGTACGCTTCCCAAAGGTTACAAAATGGGTTTAGGACACACAGTGTCAACTCCATAAACAAACACAGTGGAGCTCAGCCTCTGCCTTGGAGACGTCATGGTTTGGCGAGATCATTTTAGCAGTATGTCAGAATCATGATTCCAACCATTCAATCTGTTTCCGCAACATTTATGTCCTTAAAAAAGCAGACCAACTTCACGAGCCTCACACTCCAAACAAGCACATTGCAGCTCAGCCTTTGCCTAGCGGATGTCATGAATTAGCAATATCCTTTTTGGCAGGATATGAGTGTCAAAATTGAAACTTTTCAAACTATTGTGCTTCCTGTCATATAGAATTGATTTCATACCAAACCGCGATTTTATTTATTTATTATTCCTATTTATTTTTTATTTATTTTTTTTTTTGCATACTGTTGGGCCCCAAACGTCCTATGAACAGCTAGGCCCTCCCTAAACTCAATACAAAAGCATCCCTGGGATAAACGTGGAGCTTACTTGGAGAACGCCTGAGGAATTTGTCGCCCTGCGGCATGTCTGGCCCGGACAAACAAATCTTGTCCAGCGGGGGTCCCGTTACCAAGCTTAATGAATGGCTGCATAACGCAGGGACACTAATGTTTCCCTTGCGTGTAGGCTCCATTATCACCAATCCCGAATTAGCACGGTGGATCTAGTGGTTAGCGCATTTGCCTCACTTATGCGGTTCAGGGTTTGAATCTTGCCTTCCTCGATGGAGTTACATGTTCTTTGGTCCCTTGCGTGTAGGCTCCATTATCACCAATCCCGATTTAGCACGGTGGTCTAGTGGTTAGCGCATTTGCCTCAGTTATGCTGTTCAGGGTTCGAATCTTGCCTTCCTCAATGGAGTTACATGTTCTTTGTGTACTCGGATTTCCTCCCGCATTGCAAGTCCACACACGCTAGCTTCACACCCAAAATTCCCACTGACCGTTTTATTAAAGGAGATCCGTTGGGCCGACTCGCGCATGGCCTCCTTTCTGGCGATCTGCTCCGACCGCTCCATCTCAAGGCCGCTGGTGAACCTATCACAGCGCTCCATGTAGGCGGCAGTGTCCCGCAGTCTGGTGTGATCCGAATATCCCTCCGCAAACTCCTGACTTGAAGTGCGACAATTGCGCTGGTGGTGAGCACCCGTGCTTACAACTCCTCCAGATTCAAAGCCGAACACGGTACCTGGTCCTGAACATGGGCACCACGTAGCCGATGATTTGGTTCTCACGGTCCACAGCCAAGTAGGAGGGCTTGGTTCTCTTGGGCAGCGGGTCCAGTCCGGGTTGCGACAACCAGTCAAGGCTGAAGCATAAGGGATGCACTTTAGCAATGTAGCTGGACAAGGTGCAATCCATAGTGTCGTTAAATTAGTGGATATTCTTCATTGGGTACGATGCAACCTTGGTTTTCGTATGTCCTCATCTTCGTATTTGATTTCCGATTTTTCAGTTTTTTTCCAATTCTGCATGACTAGTATAAGTTTACAGATTCCTGTTTCCGTATTTTCTATCACTTTATTGTCTTTTCTATTAAATGCGTAACTGAATGTTGAATCAGTCATGGGTGAGTTAAACTGCGATGCTAACCTAGCTAGCGTACCGGGGTCTGACAAATGAAGGTAGAGATCGTAGATGATGTCTCGCCTATCTGTCAGTTGCAAACCTTGCGTGTTGCTATTGTCTTTTGCCTGATGTCATCAAAAAGATAATCCTAGTAATCATCTTTGGAGCTCCCTCCGTGGTACTAAATCTACTTTCAAAAGTAAAAGGCTCAAAATATTGAAAACCACAAATTCCCGACCACCAATTCATTTCTAGTGAGTGTTAGAAAGCTACAGCCATCACGTCCGAAACAGTCAGCATATCACCATGACGTAGCACCTGGTCGCTGCATCGTTAGCTCCCCTTTCTTCACCCCGGGGACTTGGTGCGGCGCCCGGGCGAAAGATCAGGTGGCGCTAACAAACCTAAACCGCTTGAGCTGTTTACATGCTCCGAGAAAGTGTATTTAAAGATGTCCGACATGCTGCCGCGGCTTGGATTGCTGTGTAGGCTGTCAGTAAGAGACATCCTTCATGGGCCGAGACCTCAAAGTTTAACACGGAAAATGTTTGGAGCCACGGGGATTCCGCTTCACTACAGCGATGATGCGTTGTAATTTAAGGAGATGTTAGCAAAAATGATGCAAATGAACTCTGCATGCATGAAGTCAACAGGAAGCAATGCTCAGGTGTGGTCCGAATGGAATGGAATGGAATGGCGATGATCCCAAGTGAGGATGGAGCTCCATCGGCAAACAGCGTTAAGAGGGGAGGAGACCATGGGAATGGGGCGGGGGCTCCTGTCTCTTACCCCCTGGTTCTGGTGCCGCCACTGGTCCCGGCCGAGTACCTGCCGGCCAACTGGTAGCGGTAGCCCCTGTCGTAGCTGCGCTGGTGCTTGCGGTAGAACGGTACCGAGGCAGACATGCTTGCGGGTGCCTGCGGATTTTGTTCTGCTGGGTTAGCGTTCGACAGCTTCTCGCATGTTCCTCCATGCCGAACATGTCTCATTAATCGAGTAGTCCGGTCGTATTCAGGCAACTTGTCACATGCTGCACCTTTCCAACCAGAAACTCACCTTTTTTCGTCCTTGGGACAGTTGCCACTTACCGCCCCCTGCAGGTCACTTGCTCAGGGCAATTCCACAATCAAGCAGGTAGGAAGCGAGGATGGTACAACAGGGACTGCAGGTGACCAAGACTGCGGTGCACTCAGCCAAAATAATACTCGGCCGCCCCACAAACACGCCGGTCAGTCTGTCCCAGCGGCAGCTGCAGCCTTTTAAGGCCTGGGTAGGGGTAAATATAGCACGGGCAGGCGGGGGTGATGATTGGGAGGTTGCAGGTCGTCGACCAATAAGCAATAAATGTCTGAGAAGCAGGTGAATACCAGCGCTTGATTTAAAGCGCATCATTATCCGTCAACCTGGATTAACTACAACGGAAAACGTAGTCCACATGTCCGGCTGTGGTTTTTACAAATTATTGCTCAATCAGCTGTTGTGAAAGCGCTATATAAATAATGATGTATTGTATAATCTAAGCTGTTGAAAATGGTTTGCGTTCGTTGATGGTGCAATGTTGAACAAACGTGCTGTTTTTGGGGTCTCCTGAAAAAAAGAGATGGTTTGGCAGTTATGAGAATTCCGCCCGTTGCCAGTGACTTGTTACCTCAGCTTTTAAAATTGGATTAACTACAACGGAAAACGTAGTCCACATGTCTGGCTGTGGTTTTTACAAATTATTGCTCAATCAGCTGTTGTGAAAGCGCTATTTAAATAATGATGTATTGTACAATGTAAACTGTTGAAAATGGTTTGCATTCGTTGATGGTGCAATGTTGAAAGGGTCTCCTGAAAAAAAGAGATGGTTTGGCAGTTATGAGAATTCCGCCCGATGCCAGTGACTTGTTACCTCAGCTTTTAAAATTGCCAATTTACTGTAAGAAGCTGGAATGTGAGGGGATCATTACTGGTACACTGTAGCGTACCTGCTTATTTTTTTGCCAGCTTGTTGTAACTTTGGTTTGTTGTTGTGTGCAGCTGTTGTAAACACGTGAAGCTGCAATGTGCCTGCCTGCCTGTCACCTCCCCCAGGGAGCATTTTCTATCTTTCTCTTGAGCCTAGAGCACATAAGCACAACAGCCGCCTCTAAGTTTAGCCGCTGCCAAGGCTATTGTTACTCATCATTGTCACTCTCTCTTAGTCTCTTTAGGTCAATGCTCTGGTTTCACTCTCATTTGTGACCGCTGATGTCATCAGTAGATACTGTACAATAAAATAAAATGACACCAAATTCACTCACAGTTTAATAAAACGACATGAACGTAGTTTGAAGTAATAATTCATTTGAGAACAGGCAAACTCCACACAGGAAGGGCGTAGCCGGAATGGAACCCTGCACCGCTGCACTTTGAGGCAGACGTGCTAACCAGTCACTCACCTTTCCGCCCATTTTTGTCGCGTAATTTAAAAATAATCCAACCTGCACAATGATACAGTGCCATCTATTGGCCGCCAGAGGCCGACAAAGTAACGACTGTAAAACAACCACAAGACGCGAGGGAATGTGGAAAACAATATTAAACAATTAACTCCATGTAAATATTTGGATTGAAATAAAGCTTTGAATGTACAATGTTATAGAGGAAATACAGCTTTAAGGATTACAAGATGCCTCCCATTTCTACCTCTTGACTCATGTTACTGTTGAATTCCTGGATTTATAATCCTCCTCCCTACACAGTGCGCAGCGATGACTGTCGTGCCACCTGTTGTGTGAACTGTGCCCCATTCAACATCTATTACCCTTTTTCGATGTTAATACGAGCCAACAGATGTGGTAAAAACGGTGATTAGCTCTTGTTTTAATGGTGCTTTATTGCATAATATGGTGGCGCTGACTTCTCTTGCCATATTTGGGCATGTCCAGGGACGTCAACGAACGTCGTAGCCCGGTTGGGAATGTTACACTTGGCGTTGGAGGGGGGGGGGTGAAATATCAAAACATTGATGGTTTTCGTCACAAAACCACGTATAACATTTTCCAAATCATGCATATTTCCATCATATTATGTGTATTTATGTGACCTTATATATGATGTGTTTATTTTATCACAAGTCGTAACATTTCCATGACGACGCGAGACTCCCTTGCTTGGTTTGTAGTTGGTACGTCCCGAGCGGTTGGCCTACGCCAAGATGACAAGTCAGGAAGTGAAGGGCGGTGGTTGCGAGAAGACGAGTTAAGTTGACATCGATTTGCTTGTTGTCGTCAGGTAAATACGCCATTTGTTTCCCAGAACTCTGTTATTTACGGTACGAGTGCCTATTTCGAAGTACTGAACATACAAAGTAGTGGAAAGTAAGTGTGCTTTAGTTTGGCGACGACGAAGAAGATACAAAACCAAACTGAGACGATTAGCCACCTAGCTGTCGTTAGCTTTCGCAGCGGCCGTCACTTTGTTTGTTTCGACAACAAAAGCAAATTAACACGACAAGTCAGACGAAGGAATTGTCTTTAAAATGTGGCTGTGTCATACAGGGAGATGTAGTTCTGTGTGTGAGTTACTCTTGACGTCGTGTTGTTTGTGTGGCTGCCGGGCCGGGCCGCATTCCATTCTGCTTATAAATTGCGTCGTTTTGCCTTTGGCCGTTCCTATTTGCAACGAATGATGCTTTCAGGGCGAGGTAAAAGTTCCCTTTTCGTGCTGAACTAGTGTGTACGGTTGCATGAGTAGTTGTGCTTTTTCCACTAGGCCAAACGTTGACTTGATTTCGAACGTATTCATAAAACGTCGCAAAATGTGATCGAGGATAATCACAAAATGTTGGTCACTCACAGTAACGGTTGTTCAGACAAAACGCAACCAAAGTGAGGAGTATTTGATGACACCCCCCCCGCCCCCCCCAAAAAAAGGTTTGCCGCCCTAAAACTCATTTCTGCGTTCATAACGGAAGGCATGTCAAAAAAGTCTTTGCTGGAATATGTTCTGTGTCCTGCGCTATTTTGACATGGCATAGCATTAATGGAACAAGAATTAAGATGACTAATGCACCTGCTTCCTGCCATCAATGGCAGGAAGCCATTATGTCGTACTGCCCCCTGCTGTTTACTGACATTGACGTCACAGTGCCCTGGAACCTTGCTTATAACATGTCACATAAACCCAGAAAACAGGTAAACTGTGATGTTCACATTACGAGCACCTGGGCACTTGGATGACATCACTTTCAGGGTTTAATCCAAAGACGACTTGCAAACTTTTACTTTGGGAAGCAGTGATAAACAATGTTATTTTTGTGAAATGAGTGGGCTGGGCAAGAAAAATACAAATTAATTTAATCGAATTCATTTATTAGTAATGAAAAAAGATTATTTGCAGTGCTAATATTGTTGCTGTTGCTCACGATCACGTTTGCACCATCAAACTGTCTCACTCCAAGAACACTTAAAAACAAAAGCAGGTCATGAGCACAGTGTTCTTCCAAATGGTGCTGACATTTGTCACCCTAAATTTGTCACCTGGTTTTCATTATTTTTACAAGTAACGAACAGGTGATTGAAATTGTTATATTCGACCCTAAACTAATGATTTGAAGTTAAATGAGAGCACCGTAAGAAGCCAATGGATCACATTAGTCAAGACTGAGCCTGTTGCAGCCCATTCCACATATTTCCACATTTTTCCGCGAGCGTCTCGGAATGCTAAACGTCCACATTGGAGTCGTGGCCTCATAAGGGCATCCGTGCGCACATCGTTAACTTTGCTCCCGTCACTAGGCAGCGATCTAGAAAGACGGCCAACACTTCCATTTATAGCTCCGCCGGGGGACGCCGCTAGGGACGCAATGCGCCGTACCGGAGATGGAGACGGCGCTTGGCGATCGGCAGCAGATGATGTTTCTCAATGCGTCTCTCTTGAATTTGCGGCGCAGAGATCGAACTTGCCAAGATGTCGAGCAAACGGACAAAGTCGAAGACCACCAAGAAGCGCCCCCAGCGCGCCACCTCCAATGTCTTCGCCATGTTCGACCAGTCGCAGATCCAGGAGTTCAAAGAGGCCTTCAACATGATCGACCAGAACCGCGACGGCTTCGTGGATAAGGAAGACCTCCACGACATGCTGGCCTCGCTCGGTGAGTTCTCGCGTATGTTTAGGATGCCTCAATATGGCAATAAATAAATAGAATACTTTTTTTTTTTTAAATTGCGCCTTTCGTCTACATGTCTGTCCCAGTGTACATGTCTGGAGATGCATGTTTTTAATCTCACGTTATTGCCAGTGTGCAGAATTAAGAATGTATCTGCAGAACTTGTTTTTATGTGAAACCTTGAGAGAGTTTCGAGGTCAAAAGCAATTTCCCGATGTTACAAGAAGACATTTTGGAGATTAAGTTTTTTTTTGTTTTTTTTTTTGTACAAGAGCACACAAATATCATCTCGTTCAAGAAGGAACTTGCACGTTTTGTCTGCACTTGTTCTCAAGCCGCAGCTCTTTGAAAACCGGTTCAGCCAGCAGCTGTCTGTCTCCGTTGGCCGCTGGGTGTAAATGCTACCTAAGGGCCATCCTGTGATATGCATGCACATGCGCTTCACAGGGAAGAATCCCACTGACGACTACCTGGAGGCCATGATGAACGAAGCTCCCGGACCCATCAACTTCACCATGTTCCTCACCATGTTTGGAGAAAAGCTCAACGGCACCGACCCCGAGGACGTTATCAGGAACGCCTTTGCCTGCTTTGACGAAGAGGGAACAGGTACCAAAAAAAAGAGAGTCAAGAAAAACTAAATGTGTCTCGGGGTGATAATGGACGACAAATTGAATTGCCGGCCGTGGTTCGTTCAGGTTTCATCCCAGAAGATTACCTCAGGGAGCTGCTCACGACGATGGGTGACCGCTTCACGGACGACGAGGTAGACGAGCTGTTCCGCGAGGCGCCCATCGACAAGAAGAGCAACTTCAACTACGTGGAGTTCACGCGCATCCTCAAGCACGGCGCCAAGGATAAGGACGATTAAAGCCAAAGCAAAACAAAGCCAGCAGATTCTTTTTCCACTTACTGTGTCAGCTATGACCACTGTTTTGCCAATCTCAGCTGTTCTGTAATAAACCGTTTTGTAAGAGACGCCCAAGCAATAATTCTCTGCAGTGTCGGAGGCACATCGGTTTTAGCTGACTTGTTTTTTGCATTTTATAATATAAACGTTTCGGGTAAAACCCTTTGGATGTTGGGTTCCCCCCTTCCCTCTCGCCATGCGCTTCCCTTAAGTGACAACTCCCAATAAATGGTGAACTAATGTTTGTGCATCCCACCATGTTTCGTTCTTGTCAAGTCTGGACAAGTCCATGGACAATGGATGGAGCAAAAACCATAAAATCAATTGGAGTGAGTCATAATTCACACCTAAAATGTTGACTAGACAAGTGATGTAAAACAGCACCTAATAGAGGCAGCTAAAATACAGTTATGGGTCTGGAACTAAAACTGAATTAAAAAAAAACTTATTACAAGAAAGTCCTCATTCTACGACTACGCTCTGTACGTAAATTGGAACGCGCATAATACGATAACGCCGAACTTCCAAGTTTGTCGCCCCCTAGTGCTGAAATGTTTCCATACAAAGAGGTGCGTTCGAATGTTGTGGGGGAAAACACCATTTCCACTGTTTCCAAACATTTAGTTTGAATGTTGTCTCAGTTCATTCGATTATCACCTTGACTTGATCCTAAAGTTTAGAAAATGTTTTTGTGTGCGTGTGTGTGTTTTGCGTATCACAATCGTGTTACTGCCGAGAACTAGCTAAATTGTCAGAAAAACGAACCTCCCATGAACGCACGAATCACTGTTACGGAAGCGCGTTACGACACGAATCTTCACCGGCCGCCCGACATCACTTCTCGTCTTCTTTATCCGCGTGACTGGAGGGCGAAGGTGTCTAATTAATTCATGCTAAGCACTTGTCGTTCCTTAACCACTTGTAATTGTCAGCTTTTGAAAATGTTTGATATCCGCTTTTCTCGTGTCGCCGCGTAGCTAGCAGCTAGCTTGCTTGAAGGTTGCTCCGGACAGCGGCTCTCAAACTTTTAGGGTACAAGGAATTTATTTGATTTTTTTTACTTAAACATTTATTCATGGTCGCCAGCTGACGTGCACTGCTTCCACTTAGAACGTGGCTGCGACCTAATGGGCGTTTGTTTTTCCAAAGCACAGTCAGCGTTGCCGCGCGGGTTTATTTCGTAAAAGATAAATTCAAATATCAAGAATCAGTTACGGCCATACAGTATTTTCCATCTATTTTACGCTTGAGATTTGTGCGTGTCTGTATTCGAAATTATTTTTAAAATGTGTGCTAGTAAGTTTAATGTGCTGTAGTTTGTACACTAAAATTTCATCCCACTCATTTGTCTTACTTTGGATCGTTCTTTATGTGTTGCAGTGTGACGACATCGGGACTGAGGTCATGGCATTGAAGCTGGTCCAGAGACTCCCAGGAGGGATTCTCACCGGTTCCATCTTCCCGGCAGCCCGCCTGGTGTGCGCAGCCTGCCTGTGCGCATCGGCAAGGCGCTGCAT